ATGCTACTAATTATTTTTACAGAAATACCCCAAAGATCGGTAGTGTTCTTAATATCTATGGTTCTAAATATCCTCACTATATCGTCGGCACCAATGGGTCGGAATGAAAAACTGACCTTGCACTCGTTTACATTATCTTTGAGCAGCGATTCGGCGAGGGCGGGAGATGATTGAAGAGACTTAGTAGTCGAAATTGGAATGTCAGAAAAGTACTTATCAAAAACAATCGCTATCTCTTCGTTAGATTTGATTATAGTGTTATCGACACATAGTTCGATGTCTTGATTGCGATCCCTGACTCTTCCAGTTTCACTATCAATTATCTTCCAAGTCATTTTAGTTTTATTGGTACTATTTTTAATCTTGTTTTTGATATTTAAGGACTTGGCCGCGTAACAAACTTTCTTAAATAATTTCGAATAATTTCGAACATAAAGAATAAATTCTTCATTATGATTGTATGACTTTTCAGCGTAAAGGTCATACAACCGTTGTCTACTTTTATAAATTCCCGCTGTCGCCCAATCACTAAACGATTTACACTGCGAATGAGAGACTTTCTTTGGGGTAAAGATGGTGTTGAACTCTTTATTAATACAATCACTTAGATTGTTGTATTGTGTATCAACGGTAGTACCTACCGGTAATAAAGGTAGGCGTTTACCTATATTATGTCTAAATCTCACCATTCGCTTTTTATTCACTGGAACAAACACACTGCTCTTATTTACTTGTTTCACCACTTTACATTTTAGCGCCACTAACTGTCCACAATGATCTGAGCTAAGATCAGTTGTAATTGAGGTTTGCATTGCCTCTGCATCTGTAAATACATTATCTATACATGTAGCAGTGGAGCTTGTAATTCTAGTGGGCTCAAGAAACAAGTTAACAAGATTGTAAGATTTTAATAACAGATTGAATTTTTTACTAATGGAGGTATTTTCTAATAAATTTATATTGAAGTCACCACATACAATAATATACTTATTGTTCTTAAAACTAACTTTACACAAAATTTCCTCCAACTTTTCTTCAAAAAAATCGTAAGATGCACTTGGTGGTCTGTAAACACTTAAAATAATGCAATTCTCAATCTCTATACAGGCTACTTCCAAAGAATGTTCTACAGACAGACACACGATGTCATTACGCTCTTTATACTTTACATTTTTATTAACAATAATCAAAGAGCCCCCATGAATCGCCGACAATCTGCAAAACGAACTTGCAACTTGGTGCTGATCAAAGTTAAAGATGATTTGGCATTCTCTAAGCCAATGTTCGGTAATGCATAGGACATCAATTTTACTTGATTTCAAAAACAACTCCAACTCTAATTCTTTGCCCAACATACCTTGCATGTTTTGATGCATCAAGTTTAAACAGTTGTTGTTAGTAATATAACATGTTTGTGTTGAGCTGAGTTGTACTAAATTATTGCTAGAGTTTGCCTCTATTGTCACACTATCTAATTTAAATTATTTATACTTAATGAAGTGCTACTGCAAGTATCACTACATTCACTTAAGCTAAGCTGCTCAATAGAAGCAGTTGTCTGAAAAGCTAAATGTTTAGCTTTAGTTGTAAATAAAAAGTAAGATAGCATAGTAGCTATCTGTTGTAAATAATAATTAGGTAGGCGGAACCTATCCTTTGTCAATACATACTTATTTTTAAATATACAATTTATGTCCATAAAAAATACATACAACCCCTACTTTTTCACCCCTCTACGATCAACCCCTATTTTTTTTTAAATATACATGGCAAAACGACGTTTGCCGGATCAGCTAGTATAATATAAGATTCATATTTTAATTTTAAATTCTTAGTTTTATTTAACAAATTATTTATTATCTTATGTGTGTAATTGCTAACAATATAGGCAAGGAAAATTTAGTTCTTTTTTTAAAACATAATTCCTTTACAACTAACGAGATTTATTTTAATTGTTATGGATATCTATAGGCAACTGGTATATTTACGGTAACCATTTTGTCTTTGGTTTATTGATAATATGATATCCTTATAAACACAGATCGATGTCATATCTTAGCATTTCTCTTCTTTAATGTTATATTAATGTAGAAGATAATTGAATTATTTGAAAACTTTCGGATGGCAACACAGAATGTCATTGAATTTCTTAGGTTAGTATGATTTATTGTATTGATACTTCATGCAATTACTGATTTTTATTTCTATTATGTATTTTTTCCGAATAGTTATCAGGTATAATAGCCTAAACATTTAGAGAGTTTCATAATCAATGTGAGAGACAGTGATAACAGCAATGACTCTGATGAATCTATGCATATTGATTTTTTGGATTCTGATTTTGATTATTCCGAATAAAGTTGTGTTTTATAATAAATATAGTTTTAGTTTTCCATGCAATGCTAGTCATTTTAAGTATCAATAGTAAAAGACTAAAAACGTTACTATCAATGTTAAAAATAATATAATAAAATCAAGTATCATGTAAGTTTAATCCACAAAATATATCAAACTTTTAGGGATACCATACAATTTTTTTTTTTAATTTGCCGCGCTTTTTCGTTATATTTTTTCATTAGCCAGACTCTAGCATAGTTCACGTCTTCTGTTTTGTACAAGTGCTGCTTCATAGTAAGTACCTAAAAATGACAGGTATTTTTTATTTACTTAAAAGGGTTCCCAAATCTTACACATTGTAATGCATATGTACTTATAATGAATAAACACATTTATATTTTTATTTATTTATAAAATAGTTTTAGTCGACCCTAAAAATAAAACTACTTGTAAATCTCTTTTAACAATAGTACTTTCTGTCAAATTGTGTTTACACTGTAATGACTGTGAAATTTACAATAAATGCCACATTTAGACCAATTTAGTCTTTATTAATTAACAATAATAACGCTACAGTTTTTTGCAACAACTCATTGGATACACGTTTAAATTTGAGACATACCAATTGCAAGCAATAAAATCTTGTCGCAAATGGTTTGGCAGGCAATAAGTGGGAGTTGGCACGGCCACCGCGACTTTACGACCGATAAAAGGAGCTTTACTGCACTGCAAATGCGATTATTTGCACTTCCTAGCGACTTACTTCAACATCAAAAGAATGACAGATTTAATACTATGTTCAAGAAGCGAAGGTATGTATATTCAAAAGCTTTTGTCAACAACTTCTTGGGGCCCAATAAAAAGTGCACAGTTTTATTATATTTTGGCTTCGATCAAAATTCGAAGTATATTTTATTTGTGGTTTTAATTTAGTTTATTTTGATTTTGTATTTATAACGTTTTTATTAAGATTACCTAAAAAATTTCATACATCAATACTTTTTCTTAAAACTGTTGGTTTGACACGGTGGGAATGACATCGGTTGGTAGCAGTTAAGCCATCCTCAGTAACTTTATAGCTATTGTATTTCTTTTGCAAATGAGATAAATATATCAAACAAGTTCAATTCTTATTGATTCAAAGGTTGATTTGTTCACTGTCGAATCTGGGCTTAAGGCACCTTGTATTAATGAAGTGAAATAAAAAATAGCTTTAGTGAGGCGTTAGTGCAAGAGTAGCTCCTCCTTACGGCCTGGCCACGGGGATCGGCGGTGCGAACGGCGATGCGGGAGGCGAGGCGACCATTCGCGCGGGGCCGTTTGCAGGCCACGGACCAGTCACGTTTGCCGCCGCGACCAGTAAGGAAGTTCGACAGCGAAATGTCTTTATCGAAATCATCTCGATATTGCTTGGAAAGTGATAGCTTTTGGTGCAAGACCTAATATTTGGAGAAATTGTGGAGAATTCCACAAGAAGTATGACAAATTCAGAATATATCCAGAATTATTTTTTTGAGTATACCAGAATGAGTATTGAAACTTTCAATTATATTCTTATGAATATTCAACCAGAATTGGAGGAAAAAGTTAATGCAAATAGAATTTTAAGTGCCGCTGAAAAATTGTTTTTGAGATTAAGGTATATTAAATTAATGCTGTGGATGGCCAGACTTCCAAATAGCTGGTCTAGCCAGTATTTCAGTAACAAAAAACTCTGTATTCATTTTTCGCCGCGACCACGACTAAACTTATTTATTCCCTTCTCTATTCGCCGCGACTGCCACTCGACTCCGTGGCTTGCACCGTACTGATTCATGCATTTGTTTCGCTCGCCCGTCGCGACGTCAGTCGCCCGCGCGATTCGCTCGGTACATTTCGCCGGTCGCACCGCTGGTCGCCGTTGCGCGTGGCTTGATTAGTACATTGCTATGAGTTTATTTCAGTCGCTAGACGCATCGCGGTTCGCACCGCGCGAATATTCGCGTCAGCGAATGTCCCGTGGCCAGGCTGTTAGATCTGGGTGATCAAGGGATTCGAATTTTCTACAGAAAGGCTTTGAAATCGTACAGATAGATTTCAGAGTATTATCTGATTTGGGTCATAAAAATCTAACAAAAATGCACTTAAAACTGCATTTTATAGTTGGCTCATTTTTTTAAACGAATTTATTATGCATACAGCATTGTAATAAGTTATAGGTACAATGATGTGCTTTCATGTATAAAAATGAAGTTTATAATATTAGTTGCAAACTTGAGAGCGGGTTCAGGATTGTTTAATGGAAAAACTTCTGTAGTCTATACACTTCTTGACGTGAGACGGTTTGTTTCAGAATAATCCCTATTTCAAAAGATACTGTTAATGTTAGTGTAATACAACATCTAGTACAAATCCGATGATTTCGGCAATAAAACTGGTAGTGCGTATGCGAACTTAATGATAAAACAAAAATTATTTGAGCTGGAAAACGGAAAATTCTTACACATGTTAAAATATAACCAAGGACAACAACAAATTAATTACGTGCCTAATCACCTAACGATTACGATTACAAAAGTAATTACCTAATACATTAATTAAAACTACCAAAATTCAATACATATATGAGTGCTATTATTTTTTAATATAATCATTAGTTTTGAAACCAAACATGTTCATGTAACATGGCTGTCATAAAGAAAAAGATTGTAGTTTTTCACATTATAGCAATTATTAATTTATGTGAAAACACTCAAGCATTTTTCGGTGATATAGTGAATACCAATAGTGGACTCGTCAAGGGAAAATTAAATAAATTTGAAGGGTTTTATTACTATTCGTTTGAAGGAATACCGTATGCAGAAAATACTGCCGGCGAGAATAGATTTAAGGTATGTTTTTTATATATTTATGTATAAGAAGCTTTTGTTAAAATTATAATTTTTAAAATTTACGATTTACGGGTAGATATATGAATAATGATCTAATTCATGACTACCTCTTGTTAAATATCTTTACTATTGTATGTTCAATGTTCATGTTCCCATAGATATTTATTTTTAGCTAGCCTGTGTTCGACTGGCAAGGATGTCCAGCTCAAGGATTTTTTACATGTTATGACATTCTAGAGTTACCTTCAAAATTTCGCGCGAATTTTCGTCTCTTAATATGACCCGAAATAGTAATTATATTATAATTTCAATAAAAAAAGCATACAATTATTTGTTATAATATTTATTTGTATAATCATTGCTTTTTAAAAGTACTAAATTAAACGATTCTACTATATATATTACGACTTTTCCCAGCCGCCTATCCCCAAGAAATCGTGGTCTCACATACTTGATGCAACGCGAAACGGACCTGTATGTCCACAAATGGAAATGAAGTATAAAAGAAATCAGATGAACGAAGATTGCCTGAGTCTAAATATATATGTACCAGCAAATATAACAAAGCCACTACCAATATTTGTATTTATTCATGGCGGTAGCCACTTCATGTCTTCTGGAAATACTGATTTGATGTATGGTCCTCAGTACTTACTGCAGAAAGATATTATTTTTGTGACAATGAATTATAGGTATGGTTATTTAACTAAATTGTAATCGGTCATTGGGTTATTAAGAAAAATGACATGAAACATTGTAATATATATAATTACTTCCTGACCCGGAAAACGTTGTTTTGCCATGTATATTATTTCTAGGAAACATTTTTTTAGTTCAATAAAAATAACTATTCTACACTAATAAAAAATAGGGGTTGATCGTAGAGGGGTGAAAATTAGGGGTTGTATGTATTTTTGTATGTTGTGTCATAAAAAAATAAAACTTATTAACCCTTATCACTTAGGGGTTTGAAAAATAGATAGTAGTCGATTCTCAAACTTACTGAAAGTGCATAAGAAATTTCATTAGAATAGGTTTAGCCGTTTCGGAGGAGTATGGGAACGAAAATTGTGACACGAGAATTTAATATATATAGAGATATTTATATACGTAAATCGAGATCAATAACTGAGAAACTGGCTTAGGTTTAAGACTTTATTTCTCAAAAAAGACAAAAATGTCACTTACATGAGAATATTACTTAGGATAAACAATACATTATCGTCGTTTTTAAAATAATCACAATAAAAAGATAGCCGTACATGCAATAAACTTAAAAGTAACCAATGAAATATAAGTTATTTTAAGAAATGAACCTTTGCCTCTCATCCTTTTACGGTCATCTACATATCATCATTCTCTAGTAACAAAATACCTGCAAAATAATTATTATTGCAAGAATTTTATCTACCATATAAATCTTTATTCCAGATTGCATGCCTTCGGATTTTTATCGCTGAATACGGAGGATGCTTGTGGTAATTCTGCACTTAAAGATGTAATCCTTTCTTTACAATGGATAAAACAAAACTTAAAATATTTTGGAGGTGATACAAGTAGAATAACAGTCGGTGGCCAAAGTTCAGGAGCTACATTGACAAATCTGTTAACGTTGTCAACTAATACTAATGGACTTTTTCAACAAGCAGTTTTGCTATCTGGTTTCGCTTTTAGTCCTAGAGGTATTATTAGACATCCCGAAGATAAAGCTTTCGTACTGGGTAAAATATTAGGTATTAAAGGCTATGATACTACTACCTTATTAAATCGTTTAAGGAAGATGAACGCATTTGAAATTACTGATGCATTCGAACAAATGTATAAAACCAATGATAACATCTTAGCTCCGTATTCAGCGTTTATTCCTAGTATTGACAAAATGTGTGCCCAACCAAGTGTAGAAGATGTACCAGCTAAAATACTAGAAAACAGAATTCCACAAGTTCCAATATTAATTGGCCACAATTCCAACGAAGGCGCTTTCATGATGAAAACAATTTTTAATCATCTTAAGGAATTAGAAAAGTTAAAAAGAGATTTAGAAAGGCTTATACCAACAGATATACAGTACCCACCAGGTTCCAAGAAGGCAAAAGAATTAGCAAAAGCAATTACTTATTTTTACTTTGGTAAAACTAATATTGCGGGTGACGAGTTTTGTTTGATGTGTTTAATTGACTATATAACTGATATTTCATATGGTGTGTATAGCAATGATGCTTGGATAAGGAAATATAAAAAACAAAGTAATAGTAAGAATCTTTATTTACATGAATTTGATTTTGATGGTATGCTTAATTGGGCCAAAATCACATACGGACTGAACACAACTGGAGCCATTCATGCTGATGAGTTAGGATACATTTTTCGTACCAAATCGACGAAACCATTCCTTAATAATATCGACAGTAGAAGCAAGAAAATGCTGGTCACAATGACTGATTTCCTAACTGACTTTGTTAAATATGGGTGAGATATCATTTCATTTTATCTGAATAACCGTAAAAGTTTTTTGGTCTTTGATTTTGACTTATACTTATTTAAAATGGGGATCGAAACTATAGTGAACTGATGGTGACATTACCACCGTCAGTTTAATAATAAACATGTATGTATTTTATATAAAATTCTAAATTTTACAGAAACCCAACGCCTCCACATAGAAATAATGACATAATATGGCCCGAATTTGGTAAAGAAGGAAACTTTTTAACAATAAACGATAATTTAAGAGTGATGCGACGTGGGACGACAGTTAGAATGGCAAAATTCAACTTTTGGAACAAAGTGTATGAAGACTATTTCAGTTACGTTAACCGCGGTGGAAAAATTACACAAAAAACTATGCAATAAAATCTATCGATACTCTATGAAGTTGAATTTTGTTTTTATAAATTAGAAACCTTTTAACCGACTATGTAATCAGTCAAGAGCTACATACATAATAATAATAATAATAATGACATAAGCCTTTGAGAGACATAACTTAGGAATACATTAGGAGTACATTATTTATTATTAGTTGGTGATGTTTAAATACACCCGTCCGTGGCACGGGAACGTAAAGCAGTGCGCGGTCTCATGGAACACTCCGGTCGAGTCGGACATCCGTCCGATGAGGAACTAGGAATTCCTAGGAAATTTATAAACTTTCGCAGGATTCTGTTATATCCCGGTGAGATATACTTGTTCATTAACATCGTGTGTGGCCTGTTAAAATAAAGATTATCCAACTATTTTTTACACCTGCAATTACCGGGTTAAAAACATTTAAAGAAGATTAAAGTAAAAGTCGCAAGTTTGCTGTGTTTGATAAATACCTTAGAAAAATGCAACGTCAGTAACGGTATGTCTTAGAACAGCACTCTATTCTATTGAATACACAGTTCTCGTCAAGCGTTGCGGCGTGCGGACGTATACATTGTTAGTGAATCATACCTTTCGGATTTAATACTAGTTACAGTGATTCTCAATCGTCGCTATCTATTTTACGATATGTCTAACTTGTGTGGTAGCTGTGGAGAGGAGATCAGGGACGGAGCTTCCTGCTCTGTCTGCAAGTTGGAATTTCACTTTCAGTGTGGAGGCATTACTGAGGTAGGATATAGGAGACTAGGTGATAGAAGATTCACTTGGTGCTGTGCCAATTGTAAAATCTCTGCGCAACCTCAAGCAGTCTCGACATCCGCCTCTACATCACCTCTAGTGAAGAAGCCTGTTGAGTCGACTATTCTGGAGGAAATTAGAGCTGTTTCCTTAAAACTCGCCCCTTTAGAATCTTTGGTAGAAGATGTCAAATCACTCAGAAAGGAATTATCGGAGCTGAGGTCCTCTTTCAGTGAAATGAATGGAGTCGTCGGTGAGTTCAAAACTAAAATAGAGAATTTTGAATCCCGTCTGTCCAAGGTTGAATCTGACAATCAGAACATCGTAGAACAGTATAGTACTATCCAAACTAGGCTGGATAAGCTAGAGAGTGAAGCGGACGATAACGAGCAATGGTCACGAATTAATAATGTCGAGATTAAAGGAGTTCCTCAGAGGGACAAGGAAAACTTACACGATATAGTTAATTCTATTGGTCATTTAATAAACTATACGGTCCAGAAAAATCAAATCAACTTTGTTACTCGCGTGCCAGTGCGAGATAGTACTCAACCAAAGCCAATTATATTGTGCTTCTTAAACCGTTACGCCAAGGAAGATTTCATCGCGGCAGCAAGAACCAAAGCCAAGGACCTAGCCAGATCAAAATCGTCTATAACATGTGCCAATCTGGGCTTTAATGGCAATCATAAAATATTTATAAACGACCACCTCACTCCCAAAAACAAAGATCTGCTGAACAAAGCTCGCAAGGTAGCCAAAGATCATAATTTTCAATACATATGGGTGAAGAGAGCTGTAATTCATATACGGAAGGACAACACTTCACCAATAATTTATATCCGCAATGTAAAAGACATTTCCAAAATAATATAATCCTTATCATTTTTATTGTTATTCATAAAGTCTTATTACATTTATTTTTCTCTGCATTTAACATGTTGAGAACAGCTGGCGGTGAGTGTGCGATGGTACGGCATGGTACGGTTTTTTTCTCATTCATTGTTCTGTGTTGTGGGTTGACTATCGAAACAGGTTTGAATTGCTTTTGCTTATCTGCTAATGGAGTGCATACCAGTAATGATTCTAACGCTATTTATATAAGATCGATTATTTATTATTCCAAGACGTTGCTTACGGCATTTAAGTATATCTATTGTCTCGCTAACGAAAAATATTTATTAATAGAATTGTACTTATTTTAGTTTGCTTGAATGGCGAGTCTGTGTATTTATTGGTTATGTTGCTTTGTCTATCCTATATGAATGCTTCGATATGTATAGGTAAATATATTGTTTTTATTGTCTGTTTCTTCAATGATTAAGTTCAAAAGTATTATTGGTTACTATCAGAATGCTCGAGGGCTGCGCACTAAAACGAACGTATTTCTGGCTAACATATTGTTAAATAATTATGATTTTATTGCAATCACTGAAACATGGCTTCTTGACAGTATTTTAAGCAGTGAATTATTTGATTCTCGTTACATAATATGGAGACGAGATCGTGATTATGCGCGGACAGCGCAGAAACTAGGTGGAGGAGTATTGTTAGCGGTGCGGAAAGATCTTATGGTTGTTGAGCGGTCGGAGTGGAGGAGCTCAGCAGAGGACATTTGGGTGACAATCACTTTGAAACGTAGGAACCCTTCTATAAACTATAATATTCATTTATGTACGGTTTATTTGTGTAATGAAGGAAGCGGTAATTCTTATAAAACACAGGTGTTAAATTTTTCGAATAAATTAGGTGAACTAGTATTGAGCCACCCCTCGGACGTATTTCTTGTAACAGGTGATTTTAATTTCAAGGATGACATCAATTGGGTTAGGTCTGAGGGGTCTACTGAATTGTTACCTATCGAATACAAATCTGATTATCTGAAAAATTTTCTTGATATTATTAATACTTGTAATCTTAGTCAATATAACGCACAATCAAATATTAATCAAAGAATACTGGATCTTATATTCTCTAACTCACCTGTGAATGTTCAAGCGTGTATGTCACCCTTGGTTCCAGAAGATGAACATCATAAATCATTAATTTTAGATATAGAATTTGTTGAAATACATACTCTAGAACAAGATAAAACCTTAAAATTTTTATATAACCGCGCTGACTTTAATTCTATAACATCAGTTCTCAATTCGATAGACTGGCATTCTTGTTTGTTTAACTGTACTGTAGACGAAGCACTGACTTTACTATATGATAAACTTTATGAGCTACGTGATAAGTTTATTCCGTCCAAACTTGTATCAAAATGTTTGTATCCACCATGGTATAGTTCTGCTCTAGTCAAAATACTAAAGGAAAAGTATAAATATCACAGTAAGTACAAAATTTATGGTAACATTGCGGATTACTTATCATTCTCAACTCTGCGTGAAAGGGCAATCACAGTAGAAAAGAAGTGCTTTGAGGTATATATAGACAGAATTGAGGCTTCTATAGTTCGCGATCCTCGTACCTTTTGGTCGTATGTTAAATCCAAAAAAAAATTGTCCAATTCTTATCCCAATTTTATGTGCTACAAAACAACTGGTGCTACTGCAGATTCTGGTTTAGGTATTTCTAACCTGTTTTCAAGTTATTTTGAGTCTAATTTTCTAAAACCTAATGACACTGTTAATGTTAATAATAGTCCTGTTAGTTGTACTAGTACCGTTAGCATCTCTACTGTGTCAGTTACACATGCGAAGGTCGAGAAACTGATTCGTAAATTAGATTTAAGTAAGGGTGGTGGTCCTGATCTCTTGCCCCCAGTCTTTATAGTCAACTGTGCGTCTGGCTTGGTAGTACCCTTGACCATTATATTTCAGCGTTCTCTCTCAGAAGGCATAGTCCCGAAGATATGGAAGAGAGCTTATATTACACCTGTATTCAAGAAGGGCGATAGATCTAATGTTGAGAATTACCGCCCGATTTCTAAATTATGTTTATTCGCTAAAATTCTTGAAAAACTTGTTCACAATGATCTATATGTGGCGCTTAAACCTTCTTTCGGGGTGGAACAACATGGTTTTCTCAGAAGCAGATCAACCGTCTCGAACCTAATAATAGCTAATGATTTTATTACTGAGGGAATGGACAGTGGTGGTCAAGTTGAAGTGATATACACGGACTATACTAAATGTTTTGATAGAATTGATCACAGTGTTCTCTTATGCAAATTATTGGCTGCAGGTATCCACGGTGACCTGTTCAGATGGTTCGCATCCTACATAGATAATCGCTGTCAGGCTGTTGTACTGCAAGGATTCTTGTCTAATTGGGTCTCCATTCCTTCAGGAGTTCCTCAGGGATCGATCTTGGGCCCTTTAATGTTTATTCTGTTCACATTGGATGTGGGTGATTGTTTCCTTAATTCTAAAATATTACTGTTTGCCGATGATATGAAAATCTTTAAGTTTGTGCATAACACGGATGACATTAACCTACTGCAAGCCGATTTGAATAGGTTTGAGCATTATTGTGTCCTAAACAAGTTGGAACTCAATGTGTCTAAATGTCATCACATTAGTTTTAGCCGTAAACCTAGTCCATTGATAGTTAATCTCAACTTCTATAATCAGTCAATTTCTAGACTGGTAGAAGTTAAGGATCTTGGGGTCATCCATGACAATAAATTGCTATTTGATAGACACATTGATAATGTAGTTTCCAAAGCCTCTAAATCCTTGGGTTTTATCATTAGAACATCAGCTGTCTTCAAACATTTAAAAACTATTAAAATATTATATTGTTCTTTTGTGCGTAGTCACCTAGAGTACGCCTCACAAGTCTGGAATCCTCAATACCAGGAATATAAGGCTCGTCTCGAAAATATCCAGCGACGCTTCCTTCGTTTTCTCGACTTTAAGGCCCACCAGCATTCTGATGGTTACCATCACCGTTGTCAACGCTACCATTTTTTGCCCCTTGAAAATCGAAGGAATATTTCCGATGTCTGCTATTTATTACAGATTGTTAGGGGATTCGTTGATTGTCCGGAGATGTTAGCAAAGCTCAACTTGCGAACTGACTTATTATGGTTCAGACATCGCCCTCTTTTCAAAATGCCTCCATTTAATACCAACTATAGGAAAAATACATTCTTGATTCGAAGTGTGCAGACCTACAACCAGTATTCAACCCAGCTTGACATCGATCTATTCTTTTCTTCCATTGACTCTGTGAGACGCACACTCACATCCAGCTATTTCCATTAGAAGTCATACTTAATTTGTCATTTACTTAAGTTC